GTGCAGATTGATAGATAGATAGATATATAGATAGATAGATAGATAGATAGATAGATAGATAGATAGATGGATGGGTTGATAAATTCAGTGTGTTGAGTTCCCAGTGATTCTTGAGTTGAACTCTCTAATTGCTCTAATTGCTCTCTGTCCTCTGACTGCCCTGTGTCTCTTCCTCCACATGCATCATATTTAAACTTCTATTTCTATTCTGGCGTTTTTTGGTTTGAAAATCCTTTTGTTGACTCTCCTCTTGTCTAAGAGCAGAAAGCCTGGACCCCGCCAGCGTTTATGAAGCTCGACACTCCGCCGGTGTTCTCTCGCTCTCGTAAGCTTCTCTCCCTCAGGCACAGAGCGTCTCTGATTAATGACTCTCTCAAAGCAGCAAACTAGAGTGAAGCTCAAGCAGGTGCCAATCAAACCTCACGCCACACGTTTGATCTGCACACAGCAACAAGCCGTGTTCAAAGGTGACATTTTCACGCCCGACGATGTCTTCAAAGCGCTCCATTAGAACAGACGATGCCGGTGCTCTGCGTCAAGTTGAAAGATAATGTAAATGTCAACTACATCTTCATCTGTTATATGCTGAATGATATGTGCTTTTAACTTTCATTGCGCTGGCAAACACACTAACCTCAGACACACTGAAGCCAGACGCATCGATTCTCTGCTTAAACTGTTTCCTCTTATCACCTCCTCTTGTAGCCTGTGGCTGTGTCTCAATCTGCACACTACTTCAGCAGTAAGCACACTACCCAGGGAATCGGACATTTGTGGGCCGGTTACATGAAGCTCTGAAACGTTTGCTCACTAGACATTCCCCATTTCAGGGCATTGAATAATCATAACTGAATAAGTGTTTAGTAAACACGGTCCTTACTAGTAGTGATGGGATAAACTAAACTTTTTAAAACTCTGAATCAACTGATTCACAAAATGATTCACTGTTTCAAAGCACTTGAAAGGCCACACTCTGGTCAGAATGCTTCAGTAAATGCAACAAAAACTCAGCCTAGACACGCATAAAAAGTGCAATTAATAAATCATCTTATATTATTAAATGTGTTTTTTCTTCATTTGCAGAGCTTGTTTTGTTCGTTTATGGGGAGTTTGGTTAATCAGGCCAATAAGAGTCTATTAACTATAACTCTTTCTTTTTATTACACAAATGTGTCATTAAAATGTTTGCAAATTTATAAAACTGATCCGAGATCAGGTAAAGTCCATGCAGACACTGGTTCAAAGGTCAATAGTGATAATTTTTTAAAGTTTTGACGTAACAAAGCCTTGTTTACTGAAATCACGTGACTCTGGTGGTTTGATACGTGCTCTGAATCACTGGTTCTGAACAAATGATTCACGAAGGTTTGAAAGTTTCACGTAGCAAGTGCTGAACCCCTCGAAAACCATCAACAGACCGGCCTGACCACCCCAGACTGGTTTAAGCCTGATAGATAGAGAGACAGACAGACAGACAGACAGACAGAGATAGATAGATAGATAGACAGATACTTTTTGAAAGAGAGCCTTGTTTACTGAAATCACGTGACTCTGGCGGTTTGATACGTGCTCTGAATCACTGGTTCTGAACAAATGATTCACGAAGGTTTGAAAGTTTCACGTAGTAAGTGCTGAACCCCTCGAAAACCATCAACAGACCGGCCTGACCACCCCAGACTGGTTCAAGCTTCCCTAAACAGGAAATTGTGCCGCAGTGTGCGTCTGCAGTCCTATTCACCGTCCAGGTCGTTCTCCGGTGTCTCGGCCGTGTGCCACTCGCTGCTGGGCCCCGTGCCATTGACCGTCATGGCTGCCACCTGGAAGCTGTACTGGCTGCCTTTCTCCAGTCCTGTCAGACAATAAACAAAGAGCCAGAGTCAGAGGAGAAGAAAATAACATGCACGAGTGTGTGTGTGTGCGATTATTATTTGCGATTCTAATTAGTAAACAGCAATCAGTCGAGGCGATGAGGTAAACAAGGTCTCCAAACCTCATCTAAACAGATCAGGATGCATTTCCATCATGTGTAAAGATAAAAAAAAAGCAATTATGATAGCAGGGTGCTGTCATCCCTGAATAGTGTGGGGAATTAGCATAAAACACTCCAGCAGCACTGTGAAATCAATCCCTTCGGAAATAGCAACTTAGCGAGATTTCCATCAAGGGAACAATGGAAATGAATACGATTTTCCCAAAAATTCAGAAATCCTATTCAAGCAAACACGCATCTATGCTCCCAAAGCCCCGGAGGACGACAAATCCGGCGTGATGCGTCGACTTCTTTAGCATGCATAGAGAAACAAAGCGTGCAGAGGAGTGCGACGCAGGAGAAACACGTGAATCTGGCAGGAGTTCGGCTGCACCTGATGGAAAGCACAAGTGTCTCACACTCACCGGTGAACAGGTACCAGAGGTTGTTGGGTTCGATGGCCTCCTGTTCGCCCCGTCGGCCCGTTTTGCGATGGCGAATCTTGTATCCGGTGATGAATCCGTTCTGCGTGTTTGCAGGCGGCGGCTGCCAGCTCACCTTAATGCTCTGAGACAAACACAGAGATCATCTAAACATCGGCACATCGGTTTATCAGCTAGAGCGCAGGGAATATCTGTTCTGTTCAATGCTAAATTACAAATGAACACACAATATGACCAATCACACACACACACACACACACACACCTGTTCAAATATTAGGGACGGTAATTTTTTAATGTTTGAAATCTCTTCTGCTTATCAAGGCTCTATATAAAAATTGTGAAATATTATTAGAATTTCAAAAAGCTGATTCCTGTGTGAATATCTGTTAAAATTTAATTTATTGCTGTGATCAAAGCGGAATTTTCAGCGTCTTCAGTGTCACATGATCTTCAGAAATCATTCTAATATGCTGATTTGCTGCTCAAGAAACATTTCTGAATATTATCAATGTTGAAAACAGTTGTCCTGCACAATATTTTTGTGGAAACTGTGATACATTACCATTCAAAAGACAGTACAAAAAAAAATGAAAGAAAAATAAATGAACAGTTTCATTCTGCAAGGATGCAACAAATGGATCAAAAGTGGCAATACAGACATTTAAAATATTTAATATGTATATGTATCAAATAAATATTCATAAATAAATATTTTTATATTTTCTGTTTTATTACTTATAATTGAAGTAATTTAGTATTTTTTGTGTGATTGTCATTTTTACTAGTTTTTTTTTAAACATATCTATATAGTTGTTATTATATTTTTTTTAATATACCATTTAGTTTTAGTTATTTTATTACATCAAGTTAAACTAAAAGAAAATGAGAAATGTTGGCTTGAAAACTAGCTGAAATATCTAGATAACTAACCCGACCCCAAACCTATTTCATTTCATTTTATTCTGTTTTTTTTTAAAAGTTGAATTTATTTCAAGTAACAAAAAAAAAAATGTTTTTAATGGTTTTTATGGATTTAGTTAATTATAATAACCCTGTTCAGGATTTCTTGATGTATAAAAATTTCAAAAGGACAGCATTTATTTGAAATATAAATCTTTTGTAACATCATACATGTCTTTACTGTCACTTTTGATCAATTTAATGTGTCTTTCATGAATAAAAGCATTCATTTCTTAAACACATGTTAACTGCTGCTGCTTCCACTCATTTTTATTGCCATTCAGACCTTTCCAGCCATCTGTATTCTGCATGGATGCTTATTAATTATGCAGGAAAAGGCATTTAATTGTTCAGTAAAGAAGAGGAAGAAATGCATTGATTTGACAGGGTCAGCTTTCTCCAGTCCTGTCAGACAATAAACAAAGAGCCAGAGTCAGAGGAGAAGAAAATAACATGCACGAGTGTGTGTGTGTGCGATTATTATTTGCGATTCTAATTAGTAAACAGCAATCAGTCGAGGCGATGAGGTAAACAAGGTCTCCAAACCTCATCTAAACAGATCAGGATGCATTTCCATCATGTGTAAAGATAAAAAAAAAGCAATTATGATAGCAGGGTGCTGTCATCCCTGAATAGTGTGGGGAATTAGCATAAAACACTCCAGCAGCACTGTGAAATCAATCCCTTCGGAAATAGCAACTTAGCGAGATTTCCATCAAGGGAACAATGGAAATGAATACGATTTTCCCAAAAATTCAGAAATCCTATTCAAGCAAACACGCATCTACGCTCCCAAAGCCCCGGAGGACGACAAATCCGGCGTGATGCGTCGACTTCTTTAGCATGCATAGAGAAACAAAGCGTGCAGAGGAGTGCGACGCAGGAGAAACACGTGAATCTGGCAGGAGTTCGGCTGCACCTGATGGAAAGCACAAGTGTCTCACACTCACCGGTGAACAGGTACCAGAGGTTGTTGGGTTCGATGGCCTCCTGTTCGCCCCGTCGGCCCGTTTTGCGATGGCGAATCTTGTATCCGGTGATGAATCCGTTCTGCGTGTTTGCAGGCGGCGGCTGCCAGCTCACCTTAATGCTCTGAGACAAACACAGAGATCATCTAAACATCGGCACATCGGTTTATCAGCTAGAGCGCAGGGAATATCTGTTCTGTTCAATGCTAAATTACAAATGAACACACAATATGACCAATCACACACACACACACACACACACACCTGTTCAAATATTAGGGACGGTAATTTTTTAATGTTTGAAATCTCTTCTGCTTATCAAGGCTCTATATAAAAATTGTGAAATATTATTAGAATTTCAAAAAGCTGATTCCTGTGTGAATATCTGTTAAAATTTAATTTATTGCTGTGATCAAAGCGGAATTTTCAGCGTCTTCAGTGTCACATGATCTTCAGAAATCATTCTAATATGCTGATTTGCTGCTCAAGAAACATTTCTGAATATTATCAATGTTGAAAACAGTTGTCCTGCACAATATTTTTGTGGAAACTGTGATACATTACCATTCAAAAGACAGTACAAAAAAAAATGAAAGAAAAATAAATGAACAGTTTCATTCTGCAAGGATGCAACAAATGGATCAAAAGTGGCAATACAGACATTTAAAATATTTAATATGTATATGTATCAAATAAATATTCATAAATAAATATTTTTATATTTTCTGTTTTATTACTTATAATTGAAGTAATTTAGTATTTTTTGTGTGATTGTCATTTTTACTAGTTTTTTTTAAAACATATCTATATGGTTGTTATTATATTTTTTTTAATATACCATTTAGTTTTAGTTATTTTATTACATCAAGTTAAACTAAAAGAAAATGAGAAATGTTGGCTTGAAAACTAGCTGAAATATCTAGATAACTAACCCGACCCCAAACCTCATTTTATTCTGTTTATTCTGTTTTTTTTTAAAAGTTGAATTTATTTCAAGTAACAAAAAAAAAAATGTTTTTTATGGATTTAATGGATTTAGTTAATTATAATAACCCTGTTCAGGATTTCTTGATGTATAAAAATTTCAAAAGGACAGCATTTATTTGAAATATAAATCTTTTGTAACATCATACATGTCTTTACTGTCACTTTTGATCAATTTCTTTCATCTTTCATGAATAAAAGCATTCATTTCTTAAACACATGTTAACTGCTGCTGCTTCCACTCATGCCATTCAGCATTCAGACCTTTCCAGCCATCTGTATTCTGCATGGATGCTTATTAATTATGCAGGAAAAGGCATTTAATTGTTCAGTAAAGAAGAGGAAGAAATGCATTGATTTGACAGGGTCAGGGGCGCCGCTAGCAATTTTGGGCCCTATGAAAGAATATGAGGTTGGGCCCCCTACCGCACCAAACATACACAACACCAATGACTTGTACATATGCGTACAATCATTTTAGACACTTCCAAAACTGTGGCAACAAAGATGGAAATACAATTTTTAAATACATGAATTATGTTTCCATCTTTGATGCCACAGTTTTGGAAATGCCTTTTTCTGTTCTAAAGACGGGGGAGTCCCAATACATTTGTCCATATGTACAAGTCATTGGTGTTTGGTGATGAGTTTTTGGCTGAAGGTCTGCATTTAAAGTCACAGCAGAGGTGTTCAGCTGGGATTAGGACTTGGCTTTCTGTAGACCAGAAGTTCTTCCACACTGACTCGATCAATCTTTTTTTTAACCTTGCCTTATACACAGAGGCATTGTTGTGTTAGAATAGAAAAGGGTCCTGTCCAAACTATTGGTATAAAATTAGAAGCACACAATTCCCTAGAATAGCATTATATGCTT